CCCCCCCCCCCCCCCCCCCCTCAAGAATTTTCTCCCTTGTCAAATCTCTCCCTCAGAAATCTCCCGTCTTAAATGCCTCCCTTACAACTTTTCTCTGTCCAGTCCCGCCGCGCTGCACAACTTCTCTCGTGCATCTTTTCCTTTTCCTCTGCCCTCGCATGTCCTCTTTCTCACACTGGTCCCCCTTGTCACACCTGCATCCCTCCTTTCTTCGTCTTGCTCATCTGTCCGATAACCGCCCTCTTCTCCCATGTCTCCCATCTCCTCCTTTCGTCCTCGCTGTGGTCTCTGCAAGGGAAAATTCCTTTCTCGAGAATCCCCCTCGTGTCTCTGCAAAGGAAATTTGTTAAGTACTTACAGTCAACCCCGTACTCTTAGGTAGGCCAATCTGAACTAATGATGACTGGTTGATGTGCACTGCCTGTAGCACGAATGGCTTGCTATGAAGTAGGTACGGTCCATGTTTCTGACTGAAGGAAAACAGGGATCTAACTCAGTATATATTCTGTGGACCTTCCACTCGCTGCTGTCTTCCCCCGAATAGAATAACGTTCGGCTATTGTACCTGTATTTTGGGGCAACTGTCAGTCTTGGGGGCGGCGATAAGGACGGCATGTGCTATTTGGGTGAAGGCGGTCCAACGTTTCTGACTCAAGGAAAACTTACTTATACAGGGATTTCACGCAGTATGTATTCTGTGTCTCGAAGAGAACTTGGGTGCGACCTTCCACTCGCTGCTGTCTTCCCCCTAATAGAACAACGTACGACTATTATTTGTAACTGTATTTGGGGCAACTTTCAGTCTTAGGGGCGGCGATAATGACAATATGTTCTATTTGGGTGAAGACGGTCCAACGTTTCTGACTCGAGGAAAACTATACAGGGATTTCACGCAGTATATATTCTGTGTCTAGAAAAGAACTTGGGTGCGACCTTCGGCTCCCTGCTGTTCTCCCTCTAATATTTTGGGCAACCCCAGAGGCAGATGCAGCGATAATGACAGGTTTGTTCTATTTGGGTGAAGATGGCAGACGAATGAGGCGATCTTCACCTCACTCACTCGATTGGATATTTCGTGCTGTGGAATGAAGGTGACCTGTGTGTTGCTGTGCAAAGAGTGATGGACATGGTGCGTGGTGGGTGCAATGAACCTCTCAAATCCACACCGAAACTCAACATGCACACACACAACGTTCACATGAAAGCTCATACCAGAAGCCGGGAGATGGAACCCAAAACAGCGCACTGAAGAGCTGCAACAGTTATTATATTATACAATGAAAGTGTTATATTGTCTGGTGGCTTCAGCCGCACATAACGGCAACACTTCTGATCCACAAGAGTAATGTGTTTTTGATCAAACGGATAAGTGTGTCACGAGCGGTGTATTCTCAAGTGCAGCACATGCTCTCTCTTCATGACCTGGCTGTGTGAGCAGTTAGACTCCCTTGCTCCCAGAAGTTTCGGACAAAGGTTCTGCTGCTCTTGGTAAACGAACAGGGGACTATTTCGACCCCATGTGTTCTGCTGTGCTTGGTGAACGAACAGATGGCTATTTTGACCCCGTGAGGATGCATATGGACCTGCGGAAATCCGTGGGCAGATCGTTCAGCTTGAGGTGTTTGTGTCCATTCGAGCAGAGGAAAATAGGACATAGGCCTGTCTTTTAGGGGACCTAGGGACAAAGATTCTGCTGCATTCGGTCAAAGAACTACTCTTACCACCGCCGGAATCGAGGGCTTACGCAAGGGCTATTTTCATTAAAAAAAAAAAAAAAAACTATCGACAACTTTGGCGCTGTAAGAATCCACATGGATGTCTGCAGACCCATGCGCGGAACGCTCACCTAGTTTAGCCTATCCTTGATAATCCACATGGCGCTGTTAAGTGTTCATGTTCAGCGGCATTCTAGTAGGGGGTTGAAAGTGATTGTAGCCTTGTTTTCTGAAGGGAACCGGGTACGAAAGCAAACAAATAAAAATCCACAAAAATCGAATTCGAGCTTCCTCGATAATCAGATAGAGGGGATAAGAGAAAGTCCTATCCGTCGTGAGAGCAGCGGCGTGATCTACCAGAGAGTTCTACCTTAAGTAAAAAATTGCTTCCATGCTTCCTTTCACTTCAGCCCCCCACCCAAACTTTCTCTTTACTCTAGTTTAGCCTGCCTATCCGTGGTGTAGATCAATATGTGGTCGTGTGTGTGGATCATGATAAAGTTCGTAGGACTTGGGGCTCTCAATCACAAAGGGTTGTATCCTCCCTGTGTGACATTTCTCTGCACACGATGGGCATTACCACTACTCAAGGATGGCACTAACTCTGGTTTGGCGCGATCTTAACACTGGGCAGCAGGATGGTGATCAACGTTCACGGGGACTTTTACAATGCTATTCACTGCAACTACGGCCGGATATCAGTCCAAGAAGTTCTAGTGTTTGTTCTTACAGAGCTTGTTCTGCGAACAGGAAGTGCTGCAGAAGCCTGAGGCCAGCTCCCCAGATGTGCCAGGGTGGAAAAGGTCATTCAGAAAAGCGCTTCGTTGCCTCTACGACACTAGGGCCAATAACTGAGGTATCTGGAATCAAGGACGCACAACTGCTCTGATTGTGGTGCATCTTACCGGATAACTTGCCCTTTGGCTGCCTCTTTGGCTGCCTCTTCGGCCTCGTGTTGTCGAGCCTAATTCTTTTAGGGCATTCTCCATTCCTTGCAAAGCAATGTTGGCCAGTAAAGGGGATATACCACCACCTCAAGGCTCGCCAGAGTTGTATGCTATAAGGCGGTTGGCAAAATCAGTCATAATATCTGATTTCAACTAGGTCTTAATCTGATTCCTCGTCCCAGGATATGCGTCTTGGAATTTTCCCAGCAAACGGCGCCTCACAAACTGGTGGTTTCCTCCATTGGCCATAAAGTCTTGACACACTATTGTAAACACGTTTCAAACTACGTGCACTTCTTTGAGGGCCTATGCAGATTAGTACTTTTCCAGAGGGGATCTAGCTGTAATTGGGGTGATATACATCTCATTGACTTCTGTTTGGCAGCATGGTCTGAACCAGTTTGGTCTGAACCAGTTTGCAGCAAATGGATGAGTTGGAGTGGCTATGCATGAGAAAGAAAAGCAGGCAAGATTTAGAGGCCTTGGACTAAAAAATGTTTGTGCTTCGATGCCTACAGAAACCCTTTGGCGCCTCCCATTGCTACCTTGCAGCAACTTGTCCTAGCCTCGATTACCCCACCAGTTCATTAAAGCCTTTACATAGGCTACGAAAGAGCGAAATGGGGGGAGGAATCAATGAATGATTGGGAACCAAAAATAAAATGTACATTATCGTGTCGCCATGGCATTGTGGTGGAAAATGGCAGTTCGGTGCAGGGGTATGGTAATAGAATCAAGAAAGTACCTGGACAGGGTGACAGTATTTATGCATGGAAGCACAGAAGGAAGCAGTAATAGTGGAAGCCCTTGAGACATAAGGCTCCGTTTTCTCAGAAAAAAGAAAGGAAAAAGTGGAAGCCCTTATTTCAGTGGTAATTCTTAAAATTCGCTTTGGCTGTTTGTGAACAGAAGCAATCTTCAAGGAAATCTGAGGGGTCGAGGTCGAAAGTGAAGGTGCCCAAGAATCCGTGTTTCCGGATAAGGCCAGGCTCGTTTCATGCAACCTTGGACTTTGCACGTGCTCTTTGTGATGCATCAGCTGGGCTCGTTGATGTGTACCCTCTGGAAGATAGGCAACTAGCTCTCCGTCAGGTAGGCCTTGGGCCCAGGGCCCAGGGGAGGAAGGAAGGAATGGATGGGAAGGGGAAAGACACACACACACACACACACACACACACACACACACACACACACACACACACACACACACACACACACACACACACA